TATCTATATCTGCATCTTAGATGAAAAGTGTTATCTTTACTAAATTATTTAGACTAACGTTCAGATAATTTGGTTTAGAATCATAGCACATAAAAATATGAATAACTTTTTATATCCCTTTTATAATTTACATTTTTTTATAACTGCGTTTAACAAGCGGTCTTAAAAATAATATCTGGAAATTATCTAGATGAATAGCTATATGTATATAAGTATAATTTTTTCTTTTATCTAGATATATTTAAAACAAAATCATCTTCATCTTATTTATAATGAATTTACATATTTTCGTTTCATCTCTCTATCTAGCTAATTTTTAAAAACATCTAAGCAACACTGTCAACGTTAGAGCAATATCGATCGTCCGCTGCCTCGTACCGGACTGTAACATCCCACGAGAGACACAATGATGCGGCGCGTGGACGATCTGCTCTCGTACATAATATATTTCTCCTCGTATACCCGCGTAAAATGGCACTTCCGTTTTCGGCGAGGATAGGAAAGAGAGATCGACTCTTCCATTTTCCTATATTGACCTGCAGACCAAGTCGATCGAACAAGCCGACATATCGCTGTCAAAACTACGGTCGCCGGCGCATGCCGACTGTCTCATAGTCTCTCTGTCTCTCTCTCTCTCTCTCTCTTCTTCAATAAATGCATATGTTGTGTATACAATGTATATAAAATAAATGTATATATTCAGGCATGTTTTCTGGACGTTTATTGGTAGTAAACGTCGCGTAGACTCTTTCTATGTTTGCGACATGACAGTCGCATTCATATTTAGAAACATTCGCGCATAATTTATGCTTTACGTTAAGGGAAATTAAAATTGTGAAATTAATTTTCGGAAATTTGCAGGATTCAAATGCGAGGCTTTCGTTTTCGCATTTAGTGAATGGGTTAAAACTTGCATTTGACGTGGAATATATGCGAGAGATTCACTTTCAACGTATATATAATTACACGTTTCAGTTTTATTATCAAAAATGAGTATTTAAAGATCTGTAATCGCCCATTTAACGTTAAACATATATCCAACTATTTATAATCAAACTGTCCGATATTTTACTCGCAATACACACAATAAAAAAAACATTCGATGATATCTCTTGAAAATCACATAATTAGTGGATGCGTCACAATCCGCATTTAATGTTAGGCGCAATTCAATTGTCGGATCGTGAGATTTTACTCGCGACACGTAATAATACGGCTGTCCATGTATTCAATGTCATTATGTCATTACGTCGGTCAGTCGAGAGCGAGAGAGAGAGAGAGAGAGAGAGAGAGAGAGAGAACCATGTGGCAACAAATTAAAGATCCATACTCACGTAGCTCACTTCACGTTAAATGCTACTCCTCTCTTTCTCCAAAATTTGTATACGACTCATAATACATTACATTATTATGCACACTTTTTATTATCAACTAAAAATTATTATATACTCGTATAATAATTTTTATTTATAATTTATAGACATCAAGTTTGTTTGTTTTGTATATTCGAGTCACTTAATAAAAATCTGTTTTTTTTTTCTCGTATTCTCCCTCCGTTCCTGACAACCTAAGCATATATCCGTTTGATTTTAAATGCACAATAATAAGAGCAATTACACGGTAGACGTTTAACGCCACTATGCGTGAAATTTATGGAAAGGGCTTATTCTGCAACAATTAAGAAGAATATCAAGAGGGAAGGCAAGGACAACGCATATGCACCGAAACGAGAACGGAAGGACGAGAGAAACGCGTGCGAATAATTGTCGAGGAAAATCGATCGATGGAAAGACGTGAAGCACGCGGACGTTTAGGAAGAGTCCGCAATTATACGATTATTCGAATAATTATTATTCCTCGCGTGACATAACAATATTATTATGCATGTGTACTCACCGAGCGCGCTCGGCCCGCCCGGCAGCACGGTGTTCCGGGCGCAGCTTCCGGGGGAGGCTCTGTTTCCGGTGGTGGGTCGACGACGACGGCCGTCGTCGTCCAGCGCGCGGCGACAAGGGAACGCCGATGACAGGGAACGTCGTATCGGCCACATGCAGCAACACCACCATATCACCACCTCTCCGGCCGCACGCGAAGCGTCAAGATTCACTCTCGGAATGACGCGAAAAACGCCCGCGCGCGCCTTCTATTTGTCGGCCCTTATCGGCCGTCACTCGCGGCGGCACGCGAGCCGAGACGAAGCGCTCCTATAAACCCACCCTTGATGACTGACGGCTGACGGCGCGGCGCTCCCCCCACCCCCCACAGGTGAGTGGTGGGGGGCCACCCCACTCCTTCCTCCGCTTGGGGTGGGGGATGACGCGGCGCGCGGCTAGAGCCGCTTGCATATTCATTCCGCGTTCGGCTCGCACGCGTTCGAGAGCGCTACTGTTGGTAGAAGCTGCAACTAGGAATGGCTAGATTAATTCAATGCTTCGTTTACGAATCGAGTTGCCTCTCTTGACAATTTTACTTTATTTTACTCGATAGTTACGCGGGATATTAAACTATGCGTTGAAGATTGACATTTAATTTATCAGGGAGTTATATAAGACATTTTTAATCGTTTTTTTTTTTACTTAAAAATTTAATTTTCAATCTTTAGATGATATCTGACATACGGGCTTTATTAGGGACAATGCGATTAAATTTAATTCCATGCGTGCTAATATGAGTATTATATATAAATAATGTATTTTAATTTATTAAAGATTTCTTGTTTATTATTGTTGATGGATTCGGTATATCTTCGGGATACAAAAAAAACTATGTGTTGTGTATTTAAGAAAAAGACACCAAAATGGTCTGGAGTAAATTACCAGACTAATTAAATATCTAAGCTAACAATAAAAATAAACTTTTCAAAACTATCTTAAAGTAGCGCATTAATTCTCTTATTATAATATAATATCAGCATTTTTATAAGTCTGTTAAAATGTATTTTGTTAATTTATTAATTAAAATCAGATATAATTAAACTGTCTTTGAAATACTTTTAGTTCTTCTATCCTTTTATTATTATATAATATGTGTTTATTATATTATATTTAACATTCTTATATACACATATATTCTTCAAAAATTTTATTTTAAAAATATTAAAACTTAAGATTCTTAGTGTATAATGCCACATACAATTTTATTTCGTGTTATTATTTTTTTTATTTTGCATACTACCGTAAATAATTTTTTTTATTAAAAATAACACTATTGTAAAGATGTGTTTTGATCGCTATGCTGCCACCTAGGAAATCTATGTCACATCACCAAGTAAAAGTAAAAAAAAAATCAATATTTTATTACTAACGGATAAAATAAATAAACTTTAAATTTTCAATAAAAATTTATCAAAATTAGGTGTCATAAATCTTATTGCATTTATTTAAACAGAATAATCTTCTCTTCTCTTTTTAATCTCATTTAATTTAAATATGTTATTTTTATATAATATCAACTAAAAATTATTAAGAAATATTTGAATAAAAATTTATATTTACTGATAAATACGTCATCTCCCTTTTTAAAATTATTATTAAAATTTAATTGACAATCGTCTCTTTTAAAGTGCATTTAATAATGTTTTAAATATATTTTAGTCGATAAAATAAATTACACTTCAGAATGAAATATCTTCAATTACTATTTTAGATTGCACTATTAGCGAAACATGTACACATTTGATCTTTTATTCGATGTTAGTAATTTATCATAGGAGACCCTCGTGTTCACGTTCGAGTTATTGCTTGCTGAACAAATCACATAGGGTATAACCAGTTCTTATCTATATTCGCAGTAGTTGAAATTATAACACACAGTGCACTAAATAAACTACGTTCGATAATTATGTCGAATTGCAATACTAGATATCGATATCTTATCATTCGTTTTCCTTAATCAAAATATATTGACACTATATTAGTTTTCGAATTAAAAAATTAAAAATGATCAATTAAGATAGAATGAATTTAGATATTCAGAATGAGAAGAGTATTAATAATTAATAAATGTACTTGTTTTATTTTTAAATAATCAATTATTAAAACATAATAACAGTCGTCTTAATTAAAATGTATATAATTATATTTTAAACATTAGTTGGGAAGATAAATTATAATTAAATTTAAGCTAAATTAAATTTAAGATAAAATATTTTCAATTACTATTTTAGATTATATTATTACAGAATTGAAGATCAGTTCAAAAATTTAAAAATTTAAAAAAAGATTCTAAGCTCGCAGTAAACTCAAATAAAAATATAATTGAAATAAATAAACTAAATATATAATCTTTTTCTTTGTTTTTTTAACCAAACAATTTTATCAATCATACTAATTTTTTTTAACAAGTTTTCAAATAAATTATTACTAAATTGCATTTGATATTTTGTTAATAAGAATAATAAAAAAATAAATAAAAATAGACGTTATTCATAGAAGAAAAATGAAATTAGTAGTGCAACAACCTTATACAAGTTCAATAACATCCACGAGTCCTTTTTAATTCCACGCGAGAAGAGCAAAGATATACAATAGAAAACCCACGTTTATAGCGTAACTCCTTTACGTTCGTATGTCCAAGTGGAATTGCGTCGTCGCACGATATCGCAATTTCAACTTCGCAACTACGAAGTGTGTTTCAAATTATTCATTCGTTAGCTCAATTATTCATTCGATCGTCGATGTTTTGGAAGCAAAATTGGCTGCTCCATAGTACTTATATCGCGGAAAACTCTTCGAAAGTTTATTTCGAGAATAATCATAAGGTACGCGCTGTGTCTCCGCTTCATCTCCTCCTCGCTCGAATTGCGCAGGTGCAAATCCTATAGGCTTTTCGCAAATAAAGACATCCTATAGACATTCGCAAATTCCGTCGACCTGCGATTTCTAAGAGAAAAGAAAGACGCGCCGCTGTCTCGCGTCGCAATCTGACATTTCAACTTCGCGAATCAAACGCTCGTCGCTCATATCGGTCCAGCATTCTCGTTTCAGATTTTCGATCGAAATATGGTATCCGACGAATCGTTCGTGAGTGCCATCCGCGCGAATGCCGCGCTGCTGCGACTCTCCGGCGTAGTGTCGTACAAGAACGGGAAGATCCGCCGAACGAATTCGCAGAACGTTCTCAGCGCGATCTCTTACGGTTGCCTATCAGCGTACGCGATCCTCTACACATACGAATTCGCGCTGCATACCGTTTACCTCGACACCTGGACGGAGTCGTTCGCGATGATACTCTCCCTCGTGGGCGGACAGGCGCGATTCACCCTCGTCCTTCTGTTCCGCAGCAGATTCCAGCGATTGCTGGCGATCTGCGAGGAGCTCTGGACCTCGTTGAACGCGGACGAGAAGAGATGCGTGCGCGATTACGTGAAGGCGACGAGACGTCTGACCTATTATTATCTATTCGGATGCGCCTTCACGATCCTTTTTACGCCGTCGCGAGTCTCTTCATGGGTCAGCACGGCTCGTCAAACACGACGACGAGAACCCTGCCCTACGCTTGTCCGGTTCAGGTTCATCGGTCACCTTATTACGAGATCATGTACGTCCTACAATTGAGTAGTATGATCAACGTCGGTCTTACCTGTGCTGCTGCCGATACCATTGGCCCGGTGCTTATCCTGACGGTTTGCGGCCACTTCAAGGTCCTCAATTCGCGAATCTTGTGCCTCGGCCATCGTCGCGATCGGCTGTATCGGGATAATTCGGCGTTTCCGACGTCCGCGGAATCTCTCGAGATGATGCATGGTGTTGTACCGAAAAACTGTGCGAAATCCGATCTCGAAGCCTACGTACTCTATCATCAAACGGTACTCGAGTATGTACAAGAGAGAAGAAGCGATTTTCCTAAAAAATAAATATAGATATTAAACGATATTGAGCTGTCAAATTGTTTTAAATGCCTTAAACGGTATTTTAAAAAATGTTTTCTTTTTTTTATAAAAAAATTCGATTAATACCTATATATTGACATGTTAATAGATTTTGCAAAGAAGTGGAAAAACTCACCAGCGGCATGTTTTTAACGCAGCTTGTCGGCAGTACGTACAATGTCTCTCTTGTGGGATTTAAATTAGCAGGGGTAAGAGAATCCAAATTGTATCTTTCGTTCTTACATATGATCATATATTTTGTTTTGAAGTTTTGTGAATTAATTTTGCTTGACTTTTATGATTTTCAGTTCTCCCTCTGAAACAAAATCACATATTTAAAGTGAAAATTCTTAAAAATTCTGTTGTAATTTTTTTCATATTAACACTCAAAATATAGTAATTATTCAATCTTAAAATTTAATTTATAATACATATGTACGTTTAATATAAAATAATGTAGATAAATATGTAAAATATGTATAGATATACGTATATAAAATTTCAGTCTTTTAAAATTTTTCGAATATTTGTTGATGTTATTCATTATTTTTATTTTATCATTAATGAAATGTGAAAATGTGCGAAGAAAAACTAATAATTTATATATTCTACATGATTTATATATTCTACATAAATATCTCAGAAAATTTCTTATCGTGTAACATTTACAGGATGATCCTGATAAATTTAAATACACAACCCAACTGTCAATTGCTATCATTCAATTATTTTTATGTAACTGGCCGGCGGACGTCCTTCTCACCGAGGTATGCAAATAAATTATATCAATTCGAATTTATAAAACATGAAGAATGTAATTTAAACAAATAAGAAAAAATGCGGTGCACAAATACCAATGTCCGAAATCGATATAAGATTATTTTTATCTTTATCGTGTCAAACTTTTTTTCTTAATTTCCTTTATTTTAAAAATGTAAAAAAATTAAAGAATATTTTAAAATCTCATAAATCTTCCTTTCCATTAGCGTATTTTGTTACAAGTAAATACAAATAGCTACAGGAAAATATAAAAAAAACACATCGCATGTGAACATGTGTTATTATGATCCGAGGATGAAAAATACGCGTTTCTTTTCACAAGTATGAAAAGGCATAATCCATGTGTGTTATCTCAAAATACACTTTCAAAGTGTAACATTTTTTGACATTTATATTTATATTTTATCTCTCTCAGATTTTTTCATTTATTTTTAAATTTCATATATAGATATAATAACATGGCTGAATTCGTGTTTCAGAGCCAAGATATAGCAAAAGCGGTGTACTTTACACCGTGGTATCGTTTTCCGTATCAGTTAAAAAGATCTCTAAATATTATCACGATGAGAACGCAGAAACCAGCGCAATTGACCGCCGGACATATCATTCCATTATCCTTGCAAACCTTCGCGTCCGTACGTATATATTTATATTACGTGTGCAAAATACATTATGTGTCTTATCTATTAATCGTGATTATTTCACAAATTAGACGTTATATTTTAGATGGTATCATCCGCGGCATCTTTTTTCACCATGATACGCAGTATGAATTGATGTCATACTTTATCATATTACATAGGAGATGTTTTGCGTAGAGAATATATATGATTGTTAATATTTATATGATAATCTTGACATAAGGTTTGTACGATGAGTCGAACGATTAAACGAGAGTTATAAAAAAAAGAGAAGAATAATCTTTTTCTCCTAAATATTTACAAAAATATTTCAAAGTATTCACAGTGGATTGAATTGTATAAAAAATGAATAATATTTATATAAACTCATGTATAGAAAGAAGGCAGATATTAGACACAACAAAATTATTTTTAAATTCCTCTTTAATTATTTTGAACATTCAGTACTGTTTATATGTCACTGAAATACAAGTCTAAATTTTCTTAATCAACCTAATAATGGTCTAAAGGAGGGAAACGTTCAAAATAATTAAAGAGGAATTTAAAAACAATTTTGTTGCGCTTAAGATCTGCGTCTGGCTCTTACCAGTCCTTTTAATATCCGAGTTTGCATATAGCAGAGCCTTTTCAATTTATTATTTTGACGTTTATAATTATTACTGTATTTGTATACTTCCACTGCGATTTACTCGATTGCCGCACGTCATTAGAGAGAATTAAACGCGACGGGGGAGAAACCTCGTCGCAGATATACCCAGGCTTTTTCGTGGATTAGCTCTGAATACTATATATCAGTGGTGCTCGTAGTGTTGACAACGTGGGAAGATTTAGTTGCGAAGACACTTTTTCTCTCCTTCTCTCCGCAGCTCCGTTACGATTGCTTAAAGTAACGAGGCAGGCGTTAACCTCCGCAGAAACTAATCCGAAGAAAATGTCGGAGAGAGAAAGGCTTTCGATGTAACTCTTGGCTTAAGTCGAGCATCGATCATTTTCTTTTTCCGTTGCACCCCTCGGCTTCGTACGTGTCGGGAGTTACCCTGCCGCATCGCGGGTAGAAATACGGGTTAACAGAAGCGCTGTCCGTTTCTGCGAAAAGCAGGAAACGTAACACATGTGCGCGATCGAATTACGAAATCAATCGCCCAACGACAGGCGAAGATGTTCGAAGAGCAAGAAGGAGATACTCAGGATCAATCGCTGTGTTTTCAATTTCAAAGATTTTCAAATATACGTTTGAAATATAAATCTACTCAGTCTCCCAATCAATGTTGTGATAGATGATTTTAAAATTAGCTAGATAAAAATATGTAAATTATATATATTTTGTAGATAATAATAATAATTTTAAATCTGCTTATATGTAAGCACAGTTATAAAAAAATGTAAATTATATAAGGGATATAAAAATATATGTATTCATATTTATAAAGTATTGCTTACTCCATATAAGCTCTACTATTTAAGTATTTTTATGTACTACAATTCTAAACCAAAATTATCTGAAAATTATTCTAGATAATTTAGTAAAGATAATACTTTTTTTCATCTAAGATACACAGATATAGATAATAAATATTTTTATTATCTATATAAGGATAAGATGACGCCAAAATTTTATCCAGATGATCTATATAATTTTATTTAGATAATAGCAAACACTGCTCCCGATCTTATTATTCTCTCCCGAAACATGTATTAAACGCATTTATAAAAGGAGTCTCCAACTTCCTCTTTCCGACAAACGACGACATTTGCGAGCCGGCAAGAAGAGAAAGACGTGATAGTCGATAGCGAGGGCAATAGAATTTCTTCGATATTACTGCACTAACGAGCGAGCCTAGCAACTCTTCGCGGAAACGTGGCTTCTTTACTTTTCAGCCAATAAATCCACCGCTTTGTCGGGTGTCTTGCACATCCTTCGATCGAGAAACCATATTTACGCTACTAAATTATATCTCAATAATACTAAATGTTTATGTAAAAAGAACACAAAAAATGTCTAATTCACAGTCCTTATATATATTCAGGTGTCTACACTTTGTCAACTTTCTAGTTAATATTTATCTTACGCAGGACAAGAATATCGTGATCAATTTATAATAAATGGTGTATGAGTTAATAAAAGCTCAAACAGTCAAATAAGAAGAAGTGATCAATTTATGTGCCTAGTTTTAAGATATACATATCTGTTAGCAGAAATTGACATTTGGTGTTAAACGTGCTGCGAAAATGTGGGTTGAAAATATTCAAATTGCCGTGTCATAATGGAACACGTGGTACGAAAATTTGGGATGGAAAAAAGATGAAATTGAAGCTCTCGCGAGAGGCATAAGCAACGAAAGGAAACGAAGTTGAGGGTGAAAAAAGTGTGCGAAATGATGCGGTGGATAAACGACAGGCTCGTAGATTCGCCCGTAGGATATCGCGCGAAACTCATTGCCTTTCATGAAGGACGGCAAGAGTGTTTCCCAAGACCGATGGTCAATTCCCGGAGCCCATCCAATTCTTTTTCGCAAAGCGCCGCTGTCCGAACGTTAGATTATAAATAAAGATGAGGAACACGGAATAAATGTAACCCGAGTGTTGAAAGACAGAGAGAAGGAGCGATGCCATAATTCTGGAGAACCGGTCTCTCTCTCTCGTTCAGCGATGTTACATTAATATCCAAAACAGTGGGATTGCTTAGATTTTCTCATTGAGAAATCGAAAAAAGAAGACATGTCACCAGACTGGCTGGACTTCAGCTTGTTAAACCGCGATTAAAGTATCATTCGACGATATCTCTGCGTTCAGACATAGCACAAGACATCCTCAGGATTATCCTGAAACTGTCCAGGATGGTTCAGGAAATTTATAGGATGTTTTAAAATATTATCAATATATTTTATGAAAATTTAATAGCCATAAATGATTATTTTTGTTAGGCAAAACAAGTTATATGCTACGCAATCTAAAATTGTTTTAATTACCTTCAAATACATTAAAATAATACATTATTGAAGAATTATTGTTATATTAGTAATTTTTTCATATTCTCATATATTTTTTGTATAGATAAACTTTTTTCTGATATAAAAATCAGTATAAATATAAACATCCTTTTCATATCCCATAAAAGTTCCTGGAATATCCCACACAATATCCTGAGGATGCTTCAAGGATAAAAAAATGAGCGATCATTTGCTCTTTTTTGGACATCCGGAGGTCTTAGGATTAAAATAGGATATCCCGAAGATATCTGCCTATCCATATTGAATGTCCTTTGGATTTCCAGAAGACATCCATGTGCTGTCTGGGGTGTATAGTCTTTGCACCCTTTTTTGGGAGCCCTGAACTCTCTGGAAAGGAGATCGCTTACGTTTTCGCGCGAATTGAATTAACCTTACGGCTGCGTTTTCAGCGAAAGGTTCGCTTCCGTATTAATTATAGCGGTGCAGCTTGAGAGCAACATCTGCCGGTGACACGGCATCGTCTCGTGCGAGAAGGCAAGATGACGGGGGCGTCGGGACGAGGAGGAAACGAAAAGGGGAAAAGCTCGGGGAGGAAAGGAAAGCCCTCGGAGCCCTCGATGCGGTGGCGCACAATAAAGAAATTCCACGATTTTCCAGCGGGACGATACCGGGCCGCGCGCGAGTAAGAACGCGCGTTGTCATCTTCGCATACCTTCGTTCGTTCGACGTTGAACGAAGCGCGGAACTCTTGGAGTTAATGAAATCCATCGGCGCCACAAGCAGCAAACGGGAGAGATCGACATTTCTTTCTCTCTCTCTCTCTCTCTCTTATCAAGCGTAGGATGCGCCCACTATCGCTTGAAAATTAAAATTTCCGCGGGTCTCTCTATCGAGCGCAAAACGAATTTCCATCTCGCTGAAAAAAAATTCGATCCTTTTTCTCTCCCTCTTCGGATTAAATCGCGCGCGTAATTGTCGCGCAGCGTAGAGCCATTGTTGTCCGCAGAAATTTTGACTTTCTCTTGATGGAAAATGTGACTCAAAAACACGGTCTTATATACAGGTCAGAACACTCATTAAAATGAAGTGTACAAAAAATGTAACCAATATGGCGGCCAACTCAGTCTGTCATATAATAATATATTTCACTATTTTTAAATAATTTAATAAAAATTATTCTTCTTATTTAATATTTATTCCGACGGTTTTCAACCGTGTTTATTTTTAACATTTTTTCAATTGTGCACAAGATCTAACAGAAAAACTGTCAAAAAACAGTCAAAATAAAAAAAATCTGCGCTGACGCACATTAAATAAATCGGCCTGAGTTGGCAGCCTTATTAGTTACATTTTATTATGCTTGACAGCATGTAGTCGATATAGAAGTGTCCTGACCTGTAAGACCGTGTTCCAAATCATGTACAATAGAAAAAACCTATACAGTGCTCGAAGTAATTTGTACAATAATTCGGTTGATAAGACTTTTTCATGTATTTTATCTTTAACGATAAGATACATGATAGCTCACATATTTGAACGTTTAATTTACTATCTTCGAAAATGCCATGATTTTTATTTATTATTTTAAAAGACCGATTTGTTTCGTAAAAAAAAAAATGAAAAAATGCACGCTGCACTTTGCGCCTCATTGTTTCGGTGCATCACGCTAAATTTCTCTCGTCCGAACACCGCGACCGACGGAGAGGAAGAGAGGATGATGGAGGGTTAATTTTGCTGGATTTTGCGGGATGACGCGATTGAAGCGGTTAAAGCTTCTCGCGAAATAACGCGCACCTCGAAATCGATCGACCATCAGTTGCCACGAGCAACGTCAGTCAATTAGGCAAACCGTCTCGAAAAAATCGCAGCGAGGCCGAAAGCTGTGAATTCATTGTCAACTAAGGGGGCCGAAGGCCCCCTTCCAATAAAACCTAACCACGATTTCTACGTGAAAGTGATTTCGAGGAGACGACGACGATGTTCCTCGCGAAAGGCGTATGTAGGTTAAATCCTCATCTTTCGTTCTGTTCTCCTTTTTCTTTACACATCTGACAAAAATCTTTTGTATATTATCCTTCTGATTTATTTTTTACTGATACGTAGTTTTATTATTTATATGGTTTTGTAAGTATACTAAAGGGTTTTCTTACTCGTTACATAAATAAATAAATAAAAACGATGCAGGACTCGAGGTTGGGGTTTCTAAAAATGGACGACGAACGGAATAGAATATCCGAGAGCATCCGGACCAGACGCCGGGAATTAAATTCACGACAAGACGCGTCGAAGTCGACGTCTTCGTGGCGAGGATGTTCGGGGAAGTGAAGAGAGACCGGATCGTAACTCGCGCGACATCCCCGTGTGTATTTACAGGTAGTGTCTCGACTCATTGAATTCTATTCATCGAGCATCCGAGTTGCGCATCATTCAATTACGCGTCTTCTCTCGCCTCCGCTCCTCCCTGTACATATATATATTTATATATATATATATATATATATATATATATACATACATCTCAGGAGGAGACAAGTCTTTCGCAGCTCCTCAATTTCCGCACAATGCATTATTTGGCAGCCTATTGTGCGCGAGAATGACGTTCGTGCATTTGGCCGCGTCAGTTATCGGAGATTATCAGTAATTAATTTTACGCGTACGTTGTGCGAAAAAATGGATAGTATTGGATAGATTGAGAAAATGTTTTCAAGTTTTTAACTCGCGAAAATATTGCATTGATTTGAAAAAATATGTCCCTTTCTGCTTATTTTCGTATAATATGTTTGCGAGATTTTGTGTTAAATATTTAATAAAATTATATCAATATTAAGGTACTATAAAATTAATTTTTTTTGTATAGGTATCGAATGAAGACATATTATATAGGATTCGTCACAAGATTTATTCGAATCGACGAAAAGATATATCTAGTTCGATCATTTTTGCGTATCTGAAGAATATAACGATGTTATGAAACTTTTATCGTCGACAGAAGATATAATGATGAAAAGAAAGTTACGAATAAAGAACATCGTCGTTTGCTCCTCGTCATCATTGACCGTAAAAAATCATAATAATAAAATCTAAAAAATATCTAAAAAATTTTTTTAATCTAAAAAAAATAAGTTAAACGAAATATTATAATAAGTAAAATCAAGTCGATCAAGATTATCAAGTCAATAAACCCCAAAATGGAACAAACTCCTAGGGGGGAATAGGATGCTTTAATTTTTTTTACGCTCGCAAATATATTCTCTAGCTTCTCTTTGATATTAAAAATCATATAATGTATTTTACAATGTAAACGCACGTTTCATTTTCCTCCACGCATATACTCACGGAAATAAATTTTAAAATTATTATCCTCGCCTTCTTCACACACACACACACACACTTGTGCTTAATTATATTATAATATATAATAATCGAAAAGATATTTACATCGCAAGATCATAATCGAATTGTCATCTGCGTCAATTTAAAATTGATCGATAATAGATAATTGCTAGAATTATTAACTAGAGATAGGTTCAGCCAAGATTGCTGATGAAGCTGACCCTAGGCAATTTCAAATTCACTTTCGCAGGGATGCGCCCTCGTTATTCTCCGGTTTAATAATCTCGAAGGTATCTCTGGATTCTCTCATCTCGGCTCCGTTAATCATCCGTCTATTCGTGTGTAAAACCGCATGGCTAATATAACGATTAACGGCGGTTCCTTTAGCAACAAGTTGCACCTCGTGTGTTTTCCCCGGAGTTTCCTAAAATCAACAAGTGAACCCGCTTCCTGCCTGGAATTTCTATATTGCTTTCTCGTTCGACTCCACAGGTGGCAAACTGGCAACGAGAGAACGACTTTCCGGAGAACCCCTCATCTTCGCGCGAAAAGGGAAAATTGACTCGAGTTTATTTGCCTGATTCCTTAACAGTCGCAACACTCATACGGAGGATCCGTTTCGCTTATGTTAATCGAGACGAAGCTGAAGGCGCTTTATTCGACTAATATATATATCCGAAAATACACCCGACGCGACGCAATAACGGCGCTATCTTTGTTTCTGGAATGTGTGATAATAGTCGTTTTAATAAAGAGCCGACGGTGAAGAGACGTCGAGAACTCATATAGAGAATTCTTCGCGATCTTTGCATTCCTCTGTAGCCTCGAAGTAAATTTCGCGTGGTTCGCGCCATTCCTAGGCGGTTAAATTCGATAGGGGAATCTTGATTACGTTCGTGTGTTTCGTGTTCAGACTTAAATTATAAGACGCGAGCATCTTATTTTTTTTTTTTTTTATAAACTTATTCGTGTTGTACTCGATATAAAGTCAAAGTTTGAGAATAAGTCAAATCTGAAACTCTTAAATAAACGAGGTTCTAAATAGACTCTTTCTTTTAAATATTCAACATGGGACCTCGATTCATTATATTTTTGGCATAGCCAAAGAACGAAAGCAGATTATTTTAAAGATTATTTTCACGCAGCATCGTAAATCATTTCGACGATAAAGTAACATACTATATAAAGTCGATCTTCTATGGTCTCTGCATTGATATGAAAAAAAGGGAAAAATGAAAAGCTGCATATATAGGTAATGTCAATTCCGTTGAAAACTGACAGATTCGAAAAGAGGTGGAGAATGATGATGTAGAGACAATAGCGCCTCGGGGGCGTCGACAGTCGCCTCGATGGAGGGAGACGAATGACCAGAATAATGTTGAAATGGGCCACGCGAAAGAGAGGAACTCACCGTATAACTCTAGAGTGGGGAGAACGCGAAAGAGAGGGACATACATATATCATAGAAATTTTATTATATTTTGGATAAAGAGAAGAGTTCGAAAAAAGGGGAACGAGAGCCGTCGTAGAAAAGAAAGTGTTATACATATTCGTGCTGAATTGGGTGTGAATGGGCGTGTGATTTGCTCTTTGTATTGTACGCGCATGTGTGTGAAACACAGAGGAAGAGAGAGAGAGGGAGGTGTACAGAGGGTGGCAGGAGAAAGGGAGAGAGAACGAGGGACGAAGGGGTGAAAAGCGCGGAACCCAGTGACCATGCGCCCTGCCGGCTGCTGGGGGCTTCTGGATCTTTTCGTGGATCAAGAAGAGAACATCGAAGAAGCACGGGAGACGCAGACGGTGGTAGGCAGAGAGAGCGACGGCTCCGCGCCGGCACGAGCGAGGTGAGATGCGCCCTTATCGCCCTTATCGCTCTCAATCGTCCGTACAATTACCATCGTTGGGGTGCCCCGACGCTCCTCGTCAGCCGAGCCGCGATCTCGACGGCTAGCAACGATAGCGGCGATACAGGATCGGAGAACGCTCGCTCCACGGCAGGACCGACCGACCCCGGTGAGTACAAATTATAAAATTTATCCAACAAAGAGTGATGGCAAAAAAGACTTGTTTTTTTTTTGCCCATTTTGGGGAGTGGAATTTTTCGACCTCAAATTTCAAACTTTTTTTTATGCCAAACAACGTACTATGATGAGACATTAATCCCAGGGAAATTTCAAGATTAGCATATAGGCACGGTTCCGGAGATATGAAGAAGTGAAAGTGATAGTTTCTCATACATCCTGATGACTAGAAATCATCACTCTCACCCCCTTGTATCTCCGGAACCGTGCCTATGCTCATCTTGAAATTTTACTTAAATTAATGTTTCATGTAATAGTACTATTTGCTATGAAAAAAATTTGAAATTCAAGATCCAAAAATTTGCCATCACTCTTTTGAATATATATATATATATATATATATATATATTTTTTCTCGTGGAATTGACAAACTCGCGACTATGTCTATAAAATAAAATCATAGTATAGAATTTCTATTATCCCAATTGAAGTTTCAGGGAAACTCGCAGATAATTGTATCTCCCTCTTAAAGGGATTGTGAAAAAATGGTTAATTATTACATTCTGTAAAAATTAACTTATTCTATAATGAAAATTTATTAACGCATTTTATGATCAGATTAACGAAACAATTAAACAGTGTTTGAAGACGGCGAGATAATTTTATTTTGTTTGTTCGACGTGTGTGTTTTTTTTATTCTGTATTTATTTCGTTTCGCGCGACGCAAACCGTCTGAACACGTAGGAACGTAGATTTCATCGTGAGAAATACGATGACGATTTACGGTCTATGTACACGATTTATTGGATGAAGTATTCTTTCGCTCGATTCGTATAACCATCGACGCGCCGCTTTATCACTTAACGCAACGTGCTAGCAAGCGTGAAAGAATTACTATCCTTGCTTTAAACAGACTGGATATAAGAAAATTAAAGATCTTTGTTAAGAAACAAAAATATTATATAATATCTCTGAATTATTCACTCTTTGACGTGTGTTAAAATGAAAAAAAATCCTTATACATAAATAATGATTTTTTCTCCCAAATATTATGTCTCATTTACTTAAAAATGGTAGAGATTATAGGATTTAATTGACCATGTAAACGATTTTTACTACTGTTAAATGTTAATTAATAATTAACATTGTAATATTGCTCGACATCTAATTATTATACATCATTTAAATAAGTTAATACGCATTACTAATTAAAACAGATACCTATATCATTGACAGATATATTATTGATTATAATGAATAAATGATCTATATATGACACTGCCATAATCATACGCATTACTATTAAAACAGATACCTATATCATTGACAGATATATTATTGATTATAATGAATAAATGATCTATATAATGACACTGCCATAAGTTTCAGTATAAGTTATTAGTGATAAATTTATCTACATATATATAATCAGTAATTTTTGTCAATGCTTTTTTGACAAATTTATCTTTAAAAGAATTTAAAACACGAAGCGTATTAAAGAATTTCTTGTAAATTGTTCAAGTATTATAGAATATAATTAAAATAGATAATCTACGTTATTAAATTATAGTATTTTCCATTTAATCAACGTTAGATGATTAATTCCTTAACAGACAATTTAAAGTGCCCGATTTTAAAGAAGCAGGATAAGAAAAAAAATGAAAATTGATCGCGCACCTGATTTGTGTACCGTAAATTGATGAGATACGCGTCGATACCGTCGGTCATCTAGGGCCACTACGTCAACGTGTTAGGCAGTATTATTCAGCTGCCAGATTCGTTCGCGGAGTCTTCAGACTCGTTAACACGTCAGCGAGGTGTCCGGAACACTTTTGCTGTCTCTTAGTCCGCGTAATACCAGATTTCCTGATAGTGATCCGCGGGCATAGAACAAACGCCCTCATTTCCACGTGTCATCCGCAGTCTCTCGCGTTGATCTTTCTCGGCGAGTTCGCGTCAAAGCGCGCTCGAGGGATCGAGAGGGTCGGCGAAGGGTAAATTGCAGAAGACACGAGGTTCTCGCGCGAATCGCCAGAGTCGTTTTCCCGTAAAACCGTCATTTCACGTAAAACACGTCTTCTCCTCGCGTTTCTAGCTCGAAATTGAACGCTCAATCGCTTATGGGAATCGTCATTTTTTGACAAGCAGGGCGAACCAAGTCTTATTGCGTTCTAAATCGCGAAACTTAGAAAGATGGCGCGTCTTAAAGCAAAATAAACTCGCGAAGGGCGAGAGACGAGAAGACGATACCCTCATCGTCTCTCGTCGCCTGAAACAGGAACAGCCAGGTGGATGGGTTGGGATTGCAACCTCGTAAGGTTAATAGAGTGATCGGTAACAAGGTTATAAAGCAATCTGCATAACCCTGTCCAGTACTTTACCCGACCTACCGGTTTCACGTTACTACGGGCGGTGTCGTAATTACTGCCCCTAATGCGATTACCGGATCGACAAGACCGGTAACCGAGGAACACTCTCTGCGAGATCTTTTTCTGGTTTTTAATGGCTTTTCATTTTTCTCTTCTAATAATTCTTTCTCTCGGAAAAATCATAATTGAATAGAAAATATAAAGTCGATACGCGTTCATCGTTTTTTTTTTTGCTTTTAAGTGCAACTGTTTTTTTACGTTTTACTGGAAAAAAGTGTTAATCCAAAACAATATCACTATTAAATATATCTCTTAACATAATCTCTCATATTAGCATATTTCGAGGTGTAAATCTAAATAGATGACTAGGTATTAAATACTATTAAATTATATAAAAATTGTACAGATAAAAGACTGAAGTGTGATATATGTAAACATGTAAAGTAATCAAACCAGAAAGAGATGTAACTTTATACATAAAAGAAAAAATAATAATATAGAATACATTTTTTTATTTAAAGGTTTCCATTTTTGATAAAATTAAATTCAAATATTGCAAGATATTTTAAATAATATTTAGAGATTATATATGTGTATATATAATTTTACAATTTTAAATAAATATATAGCAATAAAGCAAACGGATCATGTATTGAATTATTCGCGATTCATCTGATTTGGCTGAGACTTATCAGGAAAGAAGCGATAGGCGGAATAGCGGTAAATTCATTTACGCACGATCGAAGACGTAATTTTATTTCCAGAGGATTCCGTCTCTGACCTCGCATCTCGTCTAAAGTCTCGTTTCACGGCTATCTGAGTTTGATTTACATCCGATACCTTTCTCGCATTTCGACACGTACCGGGAAAAAACGTAACACATTACCTGTATTACCGAATCACCTTTAATTTTGCGAGCAACTAAATTGAAATTTACCTATGAAGTGGCGCGAAATCTCTTTTTTCCCACATATACACACGCGTTATTCTTTCAATCTCATTTATGAGATTTTCAAGATTGTGACGATTAATTTTATAAAAAATCTTTTCTATTTTTTCTTTTTATTAAATATTTCAATGCAAATGTTGTCTCGTAAAAAATAACGTATAACAACATTGTAAGAATATGTAATATATGTATTGATAAAAAATATTTCCTTTGCAGAGACATGTACCCTTATAAAAAGGATATAAAGTCGATAATCAAATCTAGATAACATGATTTCATTGAACGACGAAATACGTCGTGCGATTTATTCCTAATCTACTCTATTGCTAAAATGATTTGATTGTTTCTTTATTAAAAGTTGCGCAAAAAATAGCGAGTAGAAATGCACGAGAAATGTGTCCAGTCTGTAAAAGTGATTTTTATTCGATAAAAAACATAAATCGGATATACCGCCATAAGTTGAATCGAGACGATAAATTGGTTCCCTCATTCAGCCGATTATGAAACACGATTTTCTTCTTTTAATCTGAAATTCTACGTTTTTCTAACGATAATCAGCCAAAGTACCTAATAGATTAATTTTGACGTTTTCAACGATGAAATTTATTTATATAAAATTATCTGACAATTTATAACAATTAATACTTATATTATATTCTGTATCTGTTTTAAAAGAGAGAAAAAAATTGGCAAAATATAGTTCAAATAATGCGATTGAAAATTATTCGATATTATTCAAGTGTATCACTAACAAGATAATGAAATAATATACGTAAAATTTAAATGTATTACAAACTGCTTTTATTTCTAAAAGATAAAGCGATATTATTGTGTTTAAACGTATATATTATTTATTAGACATTTTTTTATTACTGCGGTAAAATACGGTGATAAATAATTGTCCTAAGAAATGTCATCAATTAAAATAGACACATTAAAATACAAAAGATATACATACATACGTTTAATCTTATATGAATATGCATTCTCGCATAATAATTATACAGAGTGTCTCAGAAATTTCTTTCAATTCTTTATGTAATAAGTTCGAATATTTTCTTATAAAAGTTAAAATGAACTTCTAGAATTGTCACATTAATTTAATTTTAGATTAAATCTGTGCGTCAAAGTAAGTACTTTTAAAATCATCTTATAATATTAATATTTTCTTATCTACTGATACATTTAAAGTTTAATTTGATAATTTCATGAAAATCGGAAAATTTACATTGAAATATCCATTTTTTCGATGTATCAATAATGTAAGAAAAACAAACAACTCTTTTTTAGAGCATCCTATATAAAATATCTACTTAGCAAATATTCCCATCTTACGATGATTCTCCTTTGCATAACCGTCTTTAATTGGATAGATGATGCCATTGTTATAATTTAACCAGCAGTTTGCCGCGACACGAGGCACAAGTCATCTGCGAGACGAGTGTGTAAAGTTTCGTCATTAAAAAATGTGCGTGTAATTTGCAATATACTCTGTGCCTAATGTGCCGAAACAAATACAATTTGCCGCGATATTATTATATAATAATGACGACGTAATTGAATCAAAATATCGGCACTGCAACAAATATTATATGTATATTGATCGTCCGTAAAAAAAAAAAAAAAAAAAAAAAAAAAAAAATCGTGTTTGTGCGCTCCGCGACGCGATAGATC